AGGCAGAGAGATGATTGTGGAAACCCTTAAATGTCAGACAAAGAAACTGAGGCTTGTGGGCGTGGCCATTTAAATTTCTATTTTTTTCTGAAATAATTTTACAGCCTTTGCGCCGTTTTCACCCAAGTGAGGACCCGTGCCTTTGATTATAGAGCTCTTGAATGAGATTCAATTGTGCCATCTCTGTGAGTTTTGGCTGAGGTCTGTGGAAGGGAAAGGTAAAAAAACTAAAATGTGGAGTAGTAGACGGGGAGAAAGCCCATAATACTAGGCTAGCTTTTTTCTTTTTTCAAAATGCAATTTCTCTGTGCTAAATACTTCACATGGCTTATCTCATTTAATTGTCACAAGTGGGACTGATGTAAACATGTGCTAGACACTATTATCTCCATTTTACAGACGAGGAAACTGAGGCTCAGAGAGATTAAGTAGCTTGCCCCAGGTTACACAGTCAGGAGCCCACAAAGGCAGAGTGGAAACCTAGCCCACTTGACTGCAAGGCTGATGTTTTAATCCACTGCTTAATCCCATGTAGAAAAGGACTCGGAGACCTTGGTTCTTTCATTCCGGCAGAATGGAGCTGTCACGAACTGAGATGGGTGGGGAGCCCCGTGAATTACACTGGTGGGCATTTTGCTGTTGTTGTTTTGTTGTTAGGTGGTGAATGAACAGTTCAGTTTTGGGCATACTGAAGTTGAGCTGCTCAGTGAACATTCAAATGGAGATGCAGAAATTCAAGCAGACATGTGGAAGAGGAGGCAGCTGGATGCTCAAGTCTGGATTTCAGAGGTAGATAGATCTAGGCTAGAGACACAAATTTGGAACTTGTCAGCACATATCTCTGTTTAAACCTATGGTGCTGGGTGAGATCTTGAAGGAAGTAGGGATAGTCAGAGAGGATGTCCAAGAACGGAAGCCTGGGGAAGTCCTACATCTGAAGGATAAGGTCCAGCAAAGGAGATTAAGGAAGAGTGGCCAGGGAGGTGGGGGATGTTGTTTCAAGAAGGAAGGTGTGGCCCATTGCGTCAGATTCTACCAGAGCGTCAGTTCTAGTAGGACAAGGACTGAGACTTATTGGATCTGGCAGCTGGGGCCGGGGGAGGTGCAACATCACGGAGACTTTGACAGAAACCTGGACGGAGAGTGTTTAAGAGAGAAAAGAAAAGGCGAAGCAAAAACACTGAATATTGTTAAGATCTGTATTCTGAGCCAATCTGAGGACCAACACACTTACCACAACATCCCCTAAAAAAATTATGTCTCTTACTAGATTATGTGCTCCTTGAAGGACTAGGAACATGATTTATCTTTCAAATGCCTTGCACGAGGTTGTTACTCAAATAACAACTGCAGAATTTAATAAAATTTTAAAAAGAAAAGGAATGTTCTAATTAAATCTTATGAATCTGTGCACAGCAACACTTTACACAACACGAAGACACGTCTGGAAATACTGTATTGATAACAGAAATTTAGTGGGTTTTTTTAAACCAATAAAGGTCAGATTTTCATTATATGATCATTTTTTTTTTTGTGATGAGTTTTTTCAATGCATATCTTATAGCTATGGTTCAGTTGTTGGGGGAAAAGAAAAAAAAAATCTCATCCCTGCCAACACATTGGTTTGTGTGAATCACAGCTCAGTGAAACCTTTCAGGCATATAATTTATCTTTTCTTTGGCCTATGTAGTAAATGCTTCATTTGTTCATGAATTCTTGCCTTGTTTTAATTATGCTATGCTCTGAATGTAGTTTTATAAGGCACAAAAATAAGACTGTCGTTCTGAAAACACAGAAGATTTGTGTGTTTCCCCCAGAATGAAATGGTGGCATCTTTCTCCCAATTCACAGCTCTGTGGGTTTGTGGTTGGAATTCCAAACCAGCCAGGAGCATGCAGTTGCAAGTGGGGGGAGGGGCGGGTGTGTTGAAGGGAGCTGACACCATCAAGCCCAAGGCATAATTTACCCTAAGAATTCTGAATCGATACACTGACGTCCATCAATACATAATGCAGTGCTCCAACCAAGAAAGCCACTGATTGAGAAGTTTTATTCATGGTACTTTCTGAGGGCTGGATTTTCTTAATACACTTACAGAACAATTGGGTTTTTCTCCCAAATAAAGAACTGTGCAGCCAGGGATTAGATGAGAAATTTAACAATCAGAAGGCTGGTTTTGTTTTTTTTGTTGTTGTTGTTAAAAATCCTTGCAGACATTTGAATATCCACAAGTTCACAGGCTGAAGGAGAAATGGCTATTTCATAACTTTTCCATGTCTTATAAGTATGTAGTACACAGTGGGCATTCAATATTTCAAATTTCAATGATACCACCAATGAAAATTGGAAAGTTGTAGTCTAACAATATCAGATGCAGATTTCACTGGTGAATCTGAGGGAGCTAATTCATTTATTCAAGAAGAAAGACAGGTTACAATTTTTTTGGGTCTTTGAGATATCATTATAACTTCAAAATATTACCCATGGGCTTGACTCTGTTAGACACCTGCCATGTTCCCAACACAATCCCCCCCTCCATCTTCTGACACAAATCTCATTTTGGAACTCATTCCCCTCAAATCGAAGTACTGTCCCTAAGAGTTCTTTTTCAATAAAGGAAGCTAAGTTAATAAAGTACAACTCTAAAACTTTTCCTAGACTAGAAATAGATTGAGTGTGTTGGGGTTTTATGGCTAAATACATTTGAGGGTTGGTTATCAGATGCTGAACTGGTTTACTTAATGAAGATAGGGATTTGGATGGGTCACTAGACACCTGTCCAAAGATGGGTAAGGCACAGTCTTTCATTGCTTCTCCATAAATAACTCCATCTTTTCCTAACTCAAGACAATGGATTGGCTTTAGATGCTCAGGCAAAAGAAACACACGATTGTTAAAAAATCACAACCTCAGAATGGCTTTAGGAGCCCATGACCAATTATAAGAACTAAGCAAGAGTTTGTCCATGCAGGGACAAGTAGTAAACAGTTTCTCAAATATTCATGAATATTAATGACCATTTATAATATAGTTGTCTGGGTTATAAACCCCCAGACAAGTAACTTTCAGGCTCCTGGTTTTTACATTTGATAGAATGTTCCCTGGCCAGCTAGGCTAATTCTCCTCGAGCCTGAGCATCCTCCCCAACACTCTGCTTCCCCAGCAGAGCACCTGGCACCCTGCACTGCAACTGCAGGTTTATTTATTCGACTTCTCTCACTAGACAGCAAACTCCATGCTGGCAGAGACTGTCTTGCCCAGCGCTGTGGTCCCTGTGCCTCACCTGTGCCTGGAACAGTGTTACACACAGTGAAGAACAGATGCCCAGATGCATTGCCAGACTTATTTTTGAACTATACAGAAAGCTATTCAATTGGCTTCTTGAACTGGTACATTTGCACAGTGGGCATTTGAAGGAAAATTTTTTAAACTTCTGAAAGAATTTTTGAAAATAAGCTCTTTGAGTCAAAATGTACAGAAACAGCAAGAATGCTGATAGCAAGAGCCTAAACACATGAATTTCATGATCTTTTCCCAATTTTAACTGGCCAGAGTTTTCAGCTGGTGTCCAATATTCACAATATAATTCTTTTTTTTTTTTTGGAGACAAAGTCTCACTCTGTTGCCCAGGCTAGAGTGTCGTGGCGTCAGCCTAGCTCACAGCAACCTCAAACTCCTGGGCTCAAGCAATCCTACTGCCTCAGCCTCCCGAGTAGCTGGGACTACAGGCATGCGCCACCATGCCCGGCTAATTTTTTCTATATATTTTTAGCTGTCCAATTAATTTCTTTCTATATTTGGCAGAGACGGGGTCTCGCTCTTGCTCAGGCTGGTATCGAACTCCTGAGCTCAAACAATCCGCCTGCCTCGACTTCCCAGAGTGCTAGGATTACAGGCGTGAGCCACCGTGCCCGGCCCACAATATAATTCTTGATGCCACCCTGGATGCATTAAAACCGCAGATTAATGTGATACTCATTTTCATTAAGGAAAATAATTCATGTACATAGAACAGAGCCTGGCATAGTGTCAATGCTCAATAAATGACAGTCCGTGTTATCATTAGCATCTTGGCAGCGTATAGTACGGTGGCATTAAGACAAATACATTGACAGCAGTGATACACAACAATGTCATAAAAAACTGAGCCCATCAATTTTTTTTCCTGGTTCTAAACTCAACTCGAGACACTTAACTTTATTCCAAAATTCTGAAGAAATAATGTTATTTAAAAGTCTGTTAACCAAGAAAACAGGTGCCTTAAAAATATAATGTATCAAGTTTTATTTCTTTCTTGATTTAAGGAGTTCTTTTTCTGCCCTGAATATAAACAAGCTCAAGGTTAAAAGCAAACGTTCTCTTTAATGTCAAAAAGAGCTTGCCTCTCTTGGCTCAGAAAAGAAAGCAACTGATTCAGGATGTTCCTCCTTTATAAAAAATCAAGTTTTCACAAAGGTATTACTCCGGCTTGTTGCAAAATAATTAGTACACAAAAGAGTCTACCCGGAGCTGTAAAAGCTCTTTATGCAAACCCACACCTTAGTGCAAAAGATAGTTAAAGATCAATCCAGGCTATTAAGAATAAGGAATGAAATGTGTCCTAACTAAAGCCTGTACCATGCGGCATGCCAACAAACCACAGACACCAGGCAGGTCTCTTAGGAACCATTTTTGCTCCACTAATGTCTTCCCCTCCGGACTCCATGATCGAAAATGCAACCTGTCTGCTTCTGCCTTTGAAAAATGGAGGGACGCATCCATCTGTATGTAACTCACTTCCTCTTTTATTTTACATAAAACAGATGCCACAGCTGTTACTGTTCTCCAAACCGATGTTTCTGTGGGGGACACGATGCTACAATGTGCTCTTTGTTCTAGAAGGGTCAACGGCTTGCTGTCTCGTCTGGGGCTCGCGGCGACTGGATGTGTGCGCAGTGGTCTCACCCCACGGGCGCCCCCCGAGCACGCACTCGGAACCAAACGGTCCTTCGCACACTTACCTGCCCTGCGGGGACATCGTCGCACTGCCCTGATAATCCAGGGGCTGCGCCCGCCTCGTCTTGGTGCTCTGCCCTCTTGGCTTCCGGTTGGCTGTCGGCAGGCACCCGTTCCCGTCCCTTGTCCAGTTTGAAGAATTTGTCGAAAAAGCTAGAGTCCTTGGGCTTGAGGGAAGCTGCTCCCTGGGCCTCGGGCTCCCGGGCGGCGGAGACGGCCTCGTCCTCGGCCGGGGTGGGCCGGGGGCTTTTATCCGCGCCGGCGCCCGCTGCAGCTGCTCCCGGAAGTGCCCGGCTCTCACTCGGGCCTTTGTCCGCCGGAGCTTTGTGGGAGCTGACATCAAGCTCCACTGATCCAGTGGATGAATCCGTGGCTTGGTCTGCGGTACGTCCTGGTACAGGCCGAGAGAGTGTCAAGAAAAAACGAGATTTAGCAGCTGGTGCCTTGGGGTTGGCCTCTTTCCCAAGATTCTTTCCGTTGGCATCCGCGACGGCACTTATCTCCATTGTCTCGGGGGAAGAAGTGGCCACATTATCCTTCTTGACACTTATTCCCAAGTCGACTGTGAACGCAAACATAAACAGCGGTTATTCAACCACGCTGGGAAATTCAAGGATTAATAATGGACTCCAGACGTTTTATGTACAAAGGCCATAATGCAAACTGGGGCTGTGTTGTTCTCTAGTCACCCCGCAAGGCAGAAGTTCGCCATCTAGACGCTTCTGACCCTGTTCTCCTTGGGAGAGGAGAACGGAAGGTTGGTGAGGGGGAAGCCTATTGTTGGAAAGTTACTAGCTGCCGGTGGTGTATGAGTGACACTCAGTGTTAATTGTCTTATTTTGTCTTCACAGGAACCCTGCGAGAAGCATAATGTCAGGATTTCAAGTTTGAGGCAGGACGGGGGTGAGGAGCTTGGGCTCTGGAGCTGGAACAAGCTTTCTCGGCCTCAGCACTATCGCCATTTGGGGCCAGATCATTCTTTGTTACGGGGCCCGCCCTGTGCACTGTAGGGCGTCTGGCAGCATCCCTGACCTCTACCCACTAGATGCCAGTAGCATCCTCCAGTTGTGACAACCAAACGTCACTAAAGTCCCCTGCAAGACAAAAATCACTCACCCTAGAGAGCCACTGAGATACGATGTCTACTTGAATCCAAGCTATCTTACTTTCTGTACCTCAACTTTCTGCTAAAATGAAGCAAATAATAGAAGCTACTTCATAATTTTGTTATGAAGGTTACATGTGTTAATATTCTTAAAGTACATCGAACAGTGCCTGGAATATATTAAGTGCTCCTTAAATGTCACAAATGTTAGCTATTATCATTATTCCGAGTGAGAAAACTGACAACCAGAGAGGTCAACTCACCTTCCCAGGGCTGCCCAGTAAGCTGGTAAGTAGCAGAATCTGGCTTAAGGCAGAAATCTGACTCCTAAATTCATGCTCCGTCTACTATAATGTTTATGTCAGCATAGACTGGTAAAAATACTGGAAGATTTAAGAAAGTAACACAGTACTCAGAAAGTTTCTCTTCTGAAGGCTGAAAGAGAAGATGTCCGCCCAAGATGGGAAATCAACCCTCGGGTGGGCGTGGAATTAAAGACATAGGGTTAGCTCCCCCAGACTCTGCGGATGCAGGTGTCGCTTCCTCCAGGGACGGGCACCGTTTTCAACATCCATTTCCCCTTTGACCTCTACCTTGACCTAATTGAACTGCTTTCTTTTCTAGATCCCTTTTATAAAACAGTATAATACTCAGGAAAAAAAAAAAAAACCAAGAATTTTGGAATCACAGTTAAAGATCAAGATTCTCTATTGATGAGCTGTGTGATCTTGGACAACCAGTAAAAATCTTTGAATTTCCTCGTTTGTAAAATGGGAATATCAGTGTTTCTCTTGCAGGTTGTTGTAATGCTTAAAGAAGAAAATTCAGGCAAAGGATGTGGCACGATGCCTTTCCCATAGTAGGTGCTTAATAATTGACAGATAGTGTGATTATTTTTAAGGTTTCTCTCATGCCTTTGACAATATTGCATTTTGCTTGATACATTTGCAGTCAGACACTTCTTAATGTCTGTTTGCAGGAAGACAGCGAGAAAAAAGAAAGAATTGATATTTCTTTGATCTGCACATATTGCTTATTAATATGTAGTGAGAAATACACACACATACACACACACATGCATTAGTTAGCGATTGATTTTTTGCTAAACTCTAGTTTCACACAGTGTCTAAAGTCAGGAACAAACAAGCAAGGAGAGAGGGAGCGCTGGGTTCTTGTGCAGAATGGCCAGCTCCTCCGTGAGCACCTGAGGAGCAGAGAAGAAATGGTCCAGGACAACGCATAAACCCGGACCTCAAGAAAATCACCCTGCCAGCACATTGGCGATATCTTCTACCTCTTCTTAACCTTTCTCCTGTGGTCCAGGAATTCATAATGGTAGTAGGTATTACACTAAAGAAGGGAGGGGGAGAGAGGGGGAATAAGGAAGTGAGTGGTGGATGTAGGAGGGTGCAAGTTAGCAGGCAAAGCGGTTGAAGCATCAGAGTGAATATAAATGAATTGTGGGGCTGGTCCATGCCAGGAGAAGGGGAAACTGTTGACAAAAAGGGAGAGGCTAAGATTCGAAACAAGGAAAGGCTTTTCAAAATGCCAAGAGCGTCAACTGATTTCTTTCAGTCTTTTTCCTCTCTTCCTTGCCCCCTGGCTGGGAACCAAAGGAGCTAGTAGTAAGTAAGAGTGTTACAGCCAGAGAAAAAGTCTTTGAAAAACAATGAAAACCCTTCCCATGGACAGACTTTTAAAAAAATGCCAATATACTGCTTTGAAAAAGGATAAATTCCTTATATTCAGGTATCTGGACTAGACTCAACACATTTACAGATTATAGCAGATCCAAACAGTAGCTATTGATATCAGAGAATGGGTAAAGTGTTTGATATTTTGTAAGAACTTTGAGTTTCTAGATGGTATGTTCCATGACAATGGAAGCTCTGCTCCCCAAACTTGGGTGGGTGCATACCCAAGTCTGTCACCTGGGGCTTCTATTTCCCTTGGTAAGATGCTCACCTTCCAGGTGGGCACATGACCTAAGAAAGACTAACAATCCTAGCTCTCTGGGAGGCCAAGGCGGGCAAATTGTTTGAGCTCAGGAGTTCGAGACCAGCCTGAGCAAGAGCGAGACTTCATCTCTACTAAAAATAAGAAAGAAATTAATTGGACAACTAAAAATACAGAAAAAATTAGCCGGGCATGGTGGTGCATGCCTGTAGTCCCAGCTACTTGAGGCAGGAGGATTACTTGAGCCCAGGAGTTTGAGGTTGCTGTGAGCTAGGCTGACGGATGCCACGGCACTCTAGCCCGGGCAACACAGTGAGACTCTGTCTCAAAAAAAAAAAAAAAAAAAAAGAAAGACTAATAAAAATAAATCCTGTGACTTTTGATAAACTCATTAGAACAGAGTTGCACTCTTTGTGCTTGGGTCAGCAAACCAATAGGGCATATACTTGAGGACCAGCACAGATGAAAGCAGAGCCAGGAAATCCAGGGAGCAGATGCCCAATTATATCCCTTAGACATCTGGATCCAGCTGTGCCTGAAGCTGAACTTTAGCATTACCCGAGCCAATAAATTATCCTCCTCCAACTTAGGCCAGTTTAAATTGAGTACATACTCAGTGACTTGGAGAGAATTCCAGGGATTTGGTCAATACCTGATTCACTTGTCAATTAGTAGCAATCAATCCTCCCATAGGGAAGCGGTCTCCAAGCTCTTCAAGTCTGTCTAGCAGGCATTTAGGATGGGAGGGAAGACGGCAAAGAGAATAAAATGTGAGTTCTAAGGAGCTGGGCAGAAATGAAAAACACCCACAAACACTTTGTCTTCTCAAAAAAAGTGAAGGCAAAAATCCACTTGGGAAAAAGAGATTACAGTCATTTGAGACCTCAGATAAACATTAAAATATAAATAAAATATGTTCTAATACCAGCATACACACACACGACCAAACTTTGTGAGCAGTTGGGAAGAACAGCCATTGGAGTACAGGTTGTACACTCTCACAATGATGGGGATTGCTTGCATTATTGCAAACAATTAATAATGCAAACATTGTTGCATTATATCCTTACATTATTATGGAAAGAATAAAAAGTTCCTTCTAGAAGACCAAAATTAAGCTTTCAGTTCCTATGAAGAATCTTGGGAGAAGCCCATCTTAAATATGGTTTCAATAAAAAGTTTTCTCATAAAGCATACAAAAAGATGACATACCAAAGAGAGTTTACTTTTCATGAAAAAAAAAAAAAGCAAGAGTTTAAGGAAGATAAAAAGAAATCAAGTAAGAATGAAAATGGCAGTTCCCAAATATTTAGAGATAGAGTTGAAAAATTTGATCTCTTCAGTGCAGAAAAAATATTTTGTACTGCAGTATTTTTTTTTAAGAATGTCATTTTACCTAGACATGTATCGAGAGCTTATTTCCAGTGGCATCTTTGTGTAATTGTTAAGAACTGAGATTGTGGAGCAGAGAGACCTGGCTTTGACTTTTAACCCCCTGCTTATTTAACAGGTGACCTGGGCAAGTTACCTGATATTGCTATGCCTCAGTTTTCTCATAAAATGGACATAAAAATGACACTGCCTTCTTCCAAGGGGAATTACAGGGATTAAATGAAGTATTTCCCATAAAGTGCTTAACACAGGCTGGTATATAGTAGGTGTTCAGTAAACAGTAGTTGTTTTCATTATATTTATATATTATTATTGTAATTATAATTTTATATTTTTAAATATAAGCCATAAGGAAAGAAATTATTCCAATAGTTTAATCTACAAACTTGAGTGCTCTGGGAAGACTTTTAAAAACAGTAATGATATGAGTCAATTGTCCTCAAAAATACAAGAATCTGGGCCAGAGAAGTTTCAGGAATGTTTATCATCATTAAAGTGCCAAGTATTCTCGTCAAAACAAGCTGCTTTGTCAGATTTTTAACTATATATTTAAACGTACATACACACACATACCATGTTTGTATTACAATATTCAAGACTTCTGGGGAAGGATTATCTTTTTGTTTTGCTTTTTTGTTTCTTGTGCCAAAGCTAAAATTGTCACTTGCTACAACTGTAAAAACCATAGCTAACATGCATTGAAGGCTTCCCATGTGCCAGCAATAGGATAAATGTTGTATGTAACAAGAGGCATTTCATTTTAACATTACAGAAAAACCTACAAGTATCATTCCCATTTCACAGGTTGGGAAACTGAGGCTCTGAGAAGTCAAGTCACTTTTCTAACATCGTCCAGCTCATAAGTGACGGATTCGGAATTTGAACCCACATTTGCCTAATTCCAAAGCTCAAACTCTTAACAACATGTGGTAACAGAAACAAGAACAGAAGACAAAGAAAGAGAAGGAAGGGAAGATGAACACAGCAGACAAAGTTTGGTTAATGGAATTAGATTTCCAATAAAAAAAAAAAAAACTATGTACAAGAGGGGAAAAAGCTGTATTTTCTCACATCTGGGAAACATTGGTGTATCATTTTTTGTTTGTCGT